GAAGACTTAGAGAAAATGTATCCTGCTTCTCAAAATGAACGCTGGTGGTGAAAGTGATGACTGCAAGGAATTTTCCCCACTGATTAGGAAGATGCAAGTGTAGGGACAGAGCACACGGCTAAAGAAGTCGATTAAACATGCGGATTCAATCTTCACTATGTAAAAAATAGACAGTACAGAAGGAAAGTATGAGTAGAATGCATAGAGAATATGCGCATTCCAATTATCCCACAAGATGCAATCAAATATCAATGACAAGTAGTAGTGAGGCGTCAAAAATAATACAGAATAAATTGTAAATCGATAATTTTGCCTTTTTAATAATGATATCGTGCTGTGAGCGATTGACGACGCCGATGATACCCAGCTTTACTGGAATTATTCGACCAAGAAGAACGTCTACGGCGTCCGTTCCATGATCCATCAAATCAAGTTTAGTAATGACGGCCAACGTTCGTCGCCCTAGAAAGAAATCAGAGCTCTACTAATTGCTAGTAGAGTACAAAATAAATACGAGAATAAATCTTCATGTAAGTTAATTTTAAAAAAATACACGACAACGGTTTAATTTGCTATGTTTCTCTGCTCAAAACGTACAAATGACTTCCACAGCAATCGCAAACGACTACCTCCTTTACTTTGAAGAAACATGCGAGATACAGACACAACGTCGGTAAATATCTATCATCTAAACGACCGCTGAACTGCATGGTACACATAAGCGTTTTTGTACTGTTTTGTCAACATACCTAACAACGGAAAAACCTACTTTTTCACTGAAAGCAAATTGTAATACTCAAGCTTGTGTTCGGTTTTAACGCCGGGAATAATTATTGAGAAACGTTCTGCCAGTCAAGTATAGTTCCTTGCTGCTAGAGACCCTCAAGACTGCTATCTGCTGGTCACGGCTTCATAGCATTTGAGCATCTGTACTGCATCGATGCATCAGACATCGCCTACCGGTTCCCAGGGTCTAAGCGACCATGCGTGATGCATCGATGCACTACTGGTGTTTAAGACTATCCAGCAGTGATCTGCTTAAACTCCCTCATTTACCTGTCTGTTGCGGCAAATGGAGAGCATCTTCTTGCCGAAATAACCATTGGTCAGTCAATCAATCACATGCATGTAACCAAAAATTTTCAATAAATCCAACTATGGCATAATTATGTCATGCATTCAGCTGGCATTCAATCCAAGCTCACTAAAATAAGTGAGCAAATACTAGGCCAAAATATGATCTGTGAATATTTTTTTATATGTCAATACATGCCACTGATAAAAAAGGGTTGGCTAAGATGTGGTCAGAGAACGGCATAAGGCATAGAAAATAATGATGGTCAGAGAATGGCAAATAAAATTCAACGATGAACAAGAATATGAAGTACTAGCGAATTATATGTGCAAATAAACACAGAAGCTTCACTAACGATTAATAATGTAAACAATATGTTTACAGGTACAACTTCAAAGGATAAGAACAGGATTTAATTTACTTTAAAGGCAGATCCATCCTAATTTATCTGGACGGTAGATGTTCATTTCGAGGGTGCAAGCTTCCCTATTCTGCTTGCAGCGAATGATAAACGGAATTGAAAACCGCCAGGAAACGTCAACCATGCACCAGACAATCGTAAATTTTCTGCACGTTTCTTGATGGTTCGATATACATGTAGATATATTATTGTAAAGAGGACGTTCGACATCGGTATGCTTGTTATTACCGAGCTTCAAATTATTCGCAACGACTGAATGGTCGAGCTGTTTTGTAAGGGTCTATACATCAGATGCACAGAGGTTAGTTAGCAACTTTAGCATGCTGATTATATGGCAAGTGGCAACCGTCGAGGACATGGAAATATTCAGATTATTGAGATCGAGTTAAGACTGTAATTTTAAGGCATATGAAACGACCGAGTACCGCGGAGTGTTTTATTCAGCCCTGAAACCTTACAAACCTGTCACGAATTTCGAAACTGTCGATCAATGAATACCCGATGCGGAGATATAAGAAAATCAATGCGGTTTATTAGCAGCAAGTATATCTGATCTTAATTCTTTAACATCCAAAGCGCTCGTGTACATCAGAAGACGATGTACACTCTGTGACAGCATCGTAACTCATAATTGTGGAAGAACGTGCAACATCAGCAATGATGTGTTTGCGACCGCTGACACGCAAATGCATCAAATTTACCATTTCCATTCATTGACCATTGATGTTCCAAAAAGACAAAAAAAATTTAATTCACTGTTTGTCCTTAATGAACTTGAGATGCGGCCACTTGTGTATTATGTACAAATAAAGTCATGGGCTTTCACCAATGAGGATATCACTGGATAAGAAAAAACAGTGCAGTACCTATTATTCGTAAAAATATTATCTGGCCAATAAAACATTATAACTTTACTGCGCCGTACCTTCCGGATCGACTTCGCGTGCCAGCTTCAAGGCCTCAGACGTCGCAAAATCTTGATTCGCAGGCGTGATAGCAAGAATAACGGAATTCGGGTTTTCGACGTAGCTCATTATCATGTTGCGGATGATCACTTCTATATCGGCTGGCTGATCACCAACAGGCACCTTCGTCATGCCCGGCAAATCGACGAGCGTTAGATTGACGACATGCGGTGAATAGATTTTCATGCTAATAGGTTCGGGATGAATACTCTACAGAGTTCAGGATTATGAGGCATAAAAATAATAGTTAATAAACAACAAGACAACAAGGCGAAGTTTCTTGCTGCAGATAGCAGCAGCATCTTGGCATTTTATACTCACGGTGAAGTTTTCTGAAGAGATATGACTTAAGTCTGTCTGACTAATATTTAACATAAATTGAGAGCAATGATGGTGCAATAAGTATTTCGCTTCGCACTTTAGAGGTACCGGTGCAAACCATATGCTCGGCGAAAATTTTCTTCAGCAAGCTATTCACACCACTTTGCTTCCAGCCAAAAACTGGTAGCAAGAAACTGACCTGAGAATTATAGAAACAACATGGTGTTGTAGTGTGGACACGCCATAACGTATAACACATACGGCCACATTTTCTAAT